GAGGCGGGCGGATCACGAGGTCAAGAGATCGAGACCATCTTGGTCAACGTGGTGAAACCCCATCTCTACTAAAAATACAAAAAATTAGCTGGGCATGGTGGTGCGTGCCTGTAATCCCAGCTACTCAGGAGGCTGAGGCAGGAGAATTGCCTGAACCCAGGAGGCGGAGGTTGCGGTGAGCCGAGATCGTGCCATTGCACTCCAGCCTGGGTAACAAGAGCGAAACTCCGTCTCAAAAAAAAAAAAAAAAAAAGGAAAAACTGAACAGACAAAAAACAAGTAGTAGGCTTGAGTCAGTAATAAAAAGCCCCAAAATGAAAAGGCTAGGACCAGATGGCTTCACTGCTGAATTCTACCAAACGTATAAAAAAGAATTAACACCAATTATTCTCAAAATATTCAAGCAAATTGAAGAGGAGGGAATTATTTTTAACTAATTACATGAGCCCAGCATTACCTGGATACCAAAAATCAGAAAAAGACACACAACAAAGAAGAAAACTATAGGCCAATATCCCTGATGAATGTAGATGTGAAAATCCTCAACAAAATATTAGCAAGCTGAATCAAACAACATATTTAAAAAAAAATCAAGGACCACGATCAAGTGGGATTTATTCCAGGGATGCAAGGCTGGCTCACATAGAAATCAATAAATGTGAAGCTTTGTGCAGAGGCAGTATCATGGCCAATGAGGTTTAGCCATGGCGTGATTATTGCTAATTGAAAACTTTTTCCAATAGCCCACCATGACAACTTGTAATATAGTCAGCATTAAAAATAAAATGACACATTACCAACAGAATGAAGGAGAAATACCATATGATTATCTCAATAGATGACCAACATTTTTTTTTTATAAAATTCAACATCTTGGCTTGGCCTTGGGAGGCCAAGGTGGGTGGATCATGAGGTCAAGAGATTGAGACCATCCTGGCCAACATGGTGAAACCAATTCTCTACTAAAAATATAGAAGTTAGCTGGGCGTGGTGGCACGCCCCTGTAGTCCCAGCTACTCAGAGGCTGGGGCAGAAGAATCGCTTGAACCCAGGAGGTGGAGGTTGCAGTGAGCCGAGATCACACCACTACACTCCAGCCTGGTGACAGAGCAAGACTCTGTTTAAAAAAAAAAAAAAAAAAAAGTACAAGCATACAGTTGGAGAGAAGGAAAAAGTTCTAGGGTTTGATAGTCACATTAGGGTGACTGTAGTTAACAATATTCACTATATAACTTAAAATAGCTAGAAGAGTTTAAATGTTCCCAACACAAAGATAATACAGGTGATGAATATCTTGATTTGATCATTACATATTATATGCATATATCAAAATACCACATGTACCCCATAAATATTTATAATGATTATATATCAATAAAATAGATAAACATTTTTAAAAAGAATGTGAGTTTAGGCCGGTCGCGGTGGCTCACGCCTGTAATCCCAGCACTTTGGGAGGCCGAGGCGGGTGGATCACGAGGTCAAGAGATCGAGACCATCCTGGTCAACATGGTGAAACCCTGTCTCTACTAAAAATACAAAAAATCAGCTGGGCATGGTGGCGCGTGCCCGTAATCCCAGCTACTCAGGAGGCTGAGGCAGGAGAATTGCCTGAACCCAGGAGGCGGAGGTTGCGGTGAGCCGAGATCGCGCCATTGCACTCCAGCCTGGGTAACATGAGTGAAACTCCGTCTCAAAAAAAAAAAAAAAAAAAAAAAGAATGTGAGTTTGGCAATACCTTTTTCCACATGTACAAATTCAACATTTATTCAATGGCTTCATCATTGAATGCATATTTCATTATAAGGTAAGAATTTTTTTAATTCTAGAGTTATGATGATGTTGATATTTTATGAATTTTAAACAAGGAAACTCAATTTCCTTGCTATAATTAATCCTGTTCTATAGAATACAAAATAATTCTTGAAAAATTCATGTAAAAATTTTTTTATGGCTGAAAGTCATTTACAGTTCTTTCTTACAGAAGTACTTTTGTAACTAAATCATGACCTCAGGTTCTCTCTTTTGCAATTTCAATTTTTTTCACCCATGTGTCTTTTTATTAAAATGTAGCATGCCTAGATACAAACAGCTTAACACCATTGTGTAGGCCTGGAAATTAAATCCAGCTGTTTGACCTGGCGATTAGAGCCAACCAAACAGCAGCGTGTGTAGATATTTTTTTTTTTCAGATGGAGTCTCACTCTGTCACCCAGGCTGGAGTGTAGTGGCACAATCTTAGCTCACTGCAACCTCTGATTCCCTAGTTCAAGTGATTCTCCTGCCTCAGCCTCCCCAGTAGCTGGGATTACAGGCACCCACCACTGTGCACAGCTAATTTTTGTATTTTTAGTAGAGATGGGGTTTTACTATGTTGGCCAGGATGGACTCAATCTCCTGACCTCGCGATCTGCCTGCTCGGCCTCCCAAAGTGCTGGGATTACAAGCGTGAGCCACTGCACCCAGTCTTTTTTTTTTGGAGACAGAGTCTCGTTTCATCACCCAGGCTGGAGTGCAGTGGCACAATCTCGGCTCATTGCCACCTCCGCTTCCAAGGCTCAAGCGATTCTCCTGCCTCAGCCTCCTGAGTAGCTGGGATTATAGGTACCTACCACACCCAGCTAATTTTTTTTTTTTTAATGTATTTTTAGTAGAGATGGGGCTTCACCATATTGGCCGGGCTGGTCTCAAACTCCTGACTTCAGGTGATCCGCCCTACTCTGCCTCCCAAAGTGTTGAGATTACAGGCGTGAGCCACTGTGCCTGGCTGTATCTAGACATTTAATGACAGTATCCACTTACTGTATATGTCATAATTTGTCATATTAATTTTACAAAGACTCTAAAATGAATAGTATTTTCTCTCGGGATCCCAATTCCAAGAATATGGATCAGTTCACAGACTGGCCTTAAATGTGTAATGATTATGAACTATTTGGAACCTCAGCACAGAGCGTGAGAAATGACAGAGACCCTGGGACAGTGGATATGCACTTACTTTCTTGGTATTGCTTAGTCTGGAGTCCTTGACATTTCAGGCTCAGAACCAGGGCTGGATCAGAAATAGGCTGACTTTCTGGGGCCTTGACATTCATTGTAGTATTCTTTGTGGTTATGTGGCCTTGCAACACTATCTCTGCCACAAAGTCTCACTCACTGAGGCTCAGCCTCCTCAGGCTTTGGAAACAACCCCCTTAAGAGGTAAGAGGCAGCAATGATATGGTAGGACTGATTTCCAGCTCCAATTCCTATTACTTCTGAGACCTTGAACAAATTATCTCACATTTTTTGGCTTTAATTTTTCATCTGAAACATTGGGTTAACAATACTTAGATATCACTAGATATCGGTTATTGTAAGACTAGATGAGGAAATTACTCTGTATTGAATATTCAGTAAGTGGACACTATCATTAATAATAATTCTATCCACGAAAAGGGCAGTATAACTGCAGTTAAGCATCTCATGGAACTCAGTGTGAAACTCATGTCAATTTTGCTCAAAAGTTTAACCTCTGAGCTTTCCATTTTGGCAAATTCCTAAACTTCCTGAAATAACTTTAAAACAATACAGGCAACTTTTTAAAGAAGGGAATACATGCTCATAAAACTGAGGCATGTTTTTGCTCAAAGAGATAAAGAGAAAACAAAAAGAAAAAAAGAAACTGAGGCATAAACTATTATTCTCTCTGAGATGAAATAGATGCCAGTTGCGGTGGCTCACGCCTGTAATCCCA